TAGGTTCTCTGTCAGTGACTGTTACAGAGACGTTTGATACATTAGGTTCTCTGTCAGTGACTGTTACAGAGACGTTTGATTCATTAGGTTCTCTGTCAGTGACTGTTACAGAAACGTTTAGTACATTAGGTTCTCTGTCAGTGACTGTTACAGAGACGTTTGATACATTAGGTTCTCTGTCAGTGACTGTTACAGAGACGTTTGATACATTAGGTTCTCTGTCAGTGACTGTTACAGAGACGTTTGATACATTAGGTTCTCTGTCAGTGACTGTTACAGAGACGTTTGATACATTAGGTTCTCTGTCAGTGACTGTTACAGAGACGTTTGATACATTAGGTTCTCTGTCATAACCTACCGGCACCATTCCATCTAACAGTGTTATATTGCGCTAGAGGGAGGCACAGGGATGACAGTGAGACCGGCTTGATTTTAGTTTTCCTAAAATAATGTTAACATACCTCTCAGGTGTTCTGCAATCATTTTCGCCTTCACCCATAATCCTTTCATGATGTGCTTCCTGCACGCAACACGGCCTATGATTTCCTGCTTCCACAAATCCACCTCAATACCGGTATACTTCATGCCAAGCTTGCTGTCACTTTTCTATCACAGTAAAAGTCGGCATTCTTTTCTCATCATACAGCAGGTCCTTTACGGAGTTGCGCTCACTTCAGCACTCGCCTGAAAATCGTTCTTTTGTCTAGCCAGTTATCCAGCCCTGTGTGCTTTCTCATTCAACGCGTCTTCAATGTCCTGCATCCACATTCTCGGAGGACAGCATCTATCTCGTTTTCCGGACAGTTAACACCCTATCAGTGTTCTCACGAGGAAGACATCATGACAGTTAACATCCTATCAGTGTTCTCACGAGGACGACATCATGACAGTTAACATCCTATCAGTGTTCTCACGAGGACGACATCATGACAGTTAACATCCTATCAGTGTTCTCACGAGGACGACATCATGACAGTTAACATCCTATCAGTGTTCTCACAAGGACGACATCATGTCAGTTAACATCCTATCAGTGTTCTCACGAGGACGACATCATGACAGTTAACATCCTATCAGTGTTCTCACGAGGACGACATCATGACAGTTAACATCCTATCAGTGTTCTCACGAGGACGACATCATGACAGTTAACATCCTATCAGTGTTCTCACGAGGACGACATCATTACAGTTAACATCCTATCAGTGTTCTCACGAGGACGACATCATGACAGTTAACATCCTATCAGTGTTCTCACGAGGACGACATCATGACAGTTAACATCCTATCAGTGTTCTCACGAGGACGACATCATGACAGTTAACATCCTATCAGTGTTCTCACGAGGACGACATCATGACAGTTAACATCCTATCAGTGTTCTCACGAGGACGACATCATGACAGTTAACATCCTATCAGTGTTGTCACGAGGACGACATCATGACAGTTACCATCCTATCAGTGTTCTCACGAGGACGACATCATGACAGTTAACATCCTATCAGTGTTCTCACGAGGACGACATCATGACAGTTAACATCCTATCAGTGTTCTCACGAGGACGACATCATGACAGTTACCATCCTATCAGTGTTCTCACGAGGACGACATCATGACATTTAACATCCTATCAGTGTTCTCACGAGGACGATATCATGACATTTAACATCCTATCAGTGTTCTCACGAGGACGACATCATGACATTTAACAATTTAAACATGGTCTTCTACCCATCTATAATCCACCATAGAGGATGTTCTTAGGGACGCTACAACCCCACCCTTCAGGTATGACCGAGCCATTTGTAATCCACCATAGAGGATGTTCTTAGGGACGCTACAATCCCACCCTTCAGGTATGACCGAGCCATTTGTAATCCACCATAGAGGATATTCTTAGTGACGCTACAACCCCACCCTTCAGGTATGACCGAGCCATTTATAATCCACCATAGAGGATGTTCTTAGGGACGCTACAACCCCACCCTTCAGGTATGACTGAGCCATTTGTAATCCACCATAGAGGATGTTCTTAGGGACGCTACAACCCCACCCTTCAGGTATGACCGAGCCATTTGTAATCCACCATAGAGGATGTTCTTAGGGACGCTACAACCCCACCCTTCAGGTATGACCGAGCCATTTGTAATCCACCATAGAGGATGTTCTTAGGGACGCTATAACCTCACCCTTCAGGTATGACCGAGCCATTTGTAATCCACCATAGAGGATGTTCTTAGGGACGCTACACCCCACCCTTCAGGTATGACCGAGCCATTTGTAATCCACCATAGAGGATGTTCTTAGGGACGCTACAACCCCACCCTTCAGGTATGCCCGAGCCATTTGTAATCCACCATAGAGGATGTTCTTAGGGACGCTACAACCCCACCCTTCAGGTATGACTGAGCCATTTGTAATCCACCATAGAGGATGTTCTTAGGGACGCTACAACCCCACCCTTCAGGTATGATCGAGCCATTTGTAATTCACCATAGAGGATGTTTGTTGGGACGCTACAACCCCACCCTTCAGGTATGACCGAGCCATTTGTAATCCACCATAGAGGATGTTCTTAGGGACGCTACAACCCCACCCTTCAGGTATGACCGAGCCATTTGTAATCCACCATAGAGGATGTTCTTAGGGACGCTACAACCCCACCCTTCAGGTATGACTGAGCCATTTGTAATCCACCATAGAGGATGTTCTTAGGGACGCTACAACCCCACCCTTCAGGTATGATCGAGCCATTTGTAATTCACCATAGAGGATGTTTGTTGGGACGCTACAACCCCACCCTTCAGGTATGACCGAGCCATTTGTAATCCACCATAGAGGATGTTCTTAGGGACGCTACAACCCCACCCTTCAGGTATGACCGAGCCATTTGTAATCCACCATAGAGGATGTTCTTAGGGACGCTACAACCCCACCCTTCAGGTATGACCGAGCCATTTGTAATTCACCATAGAGGATGTTTGTTGGGACGCTACAACTTCCACCCTTCATGTTGGACCGAGCCATCTGTAATCCACCACAGAGGATGTCTTTAGAGATAATAAACTCACTAAATTTATTTTGATATATGTGTACATTTGACTCAAGTTAATGTATTTAAGTTTGTCTGTAACAACAGTTATAATTTTTTTTTCGTTTCTAGTAGAATGCTTATATTTACCTTCAGAATAATATACCATTCATTAAAATTTATTGCTAGTTACTTAAACTGAAGTTTAATTTGTGTAAAAATCTTCTTGATAGAAAATAGCACAGACTGGCCTCCCGGACTTCTCAAACACGGGAATTTCCGTTTGGCCTGTTTGGCGTTACACAGAGACGGCCATGTGAAAGCTGCTCTATGCAGTACTTCAGTGTTTGTAGTCATTTCTTTATTGAGCCTACAACCATTGCTGGGACCTCTACCCTTGCTGTAAAACAAAAAACATTCCATCACGGCTTAATACAAAGAAGCAGTGCTAATAACAACAGACAAGGAGACTATGTTACTTTCAAGTGAGGCTGTGGTTGAAATAACGGCAGGCTGACTGTGGTAGTTGGATGTCTTAAGCCACAACATCGACTCTAGTCATTACTTTGATTATTATCATCATTACTCTAATTATCACAGACTACAGGACAGTGCACAGTATGGTTTAGATATTAGCGTTGGAAAACCACAACTATGGTAAGTAACAATGAGACAAACACGACCACCAGTGAACATCTCAGCTAACAGAAAGAAAATAAAACAGTAAAAAGTTTCTTTTATGTCATACATGTAGTAACAAATGACGACCGAAGTGAAACAGAAATTGTAAAGAGAATGGGAATAAATAAAACTATCTTCAATCAATTGCAGTAATTACTGGCAGCTACAGAGATCAACAACACACTGAAAATGAGAATCATCAAACGTTATGTGTACCCAATCTTGCTATATGGTGCAGAAACTTGGACAATGAATAAGTAACTAAAAAATCGAATTGTCTCTGGAAATGTCGATATAAAGATGAATAGGTCGCATTTCATTGAAACAAAAACCATCAACTACAGATGGTCTGGAACAACTTCGAAGAAAAAGAGATTTGCTGAAAGAAAAAATAAAGCAAAACGAGTGAAAAAAAATGTGGCCACATTAAGGGACATTTTTTTTTTTTTTGAAAACCATACTGGAGGGAAAAGTCGATGACAAGAGAGCAACAGGTAGACAACGTTACAGGTGGGAGGACAACATCCAGAGATGTACAAACAGCAGTCTGAGAGAGTGTACAGCCAAGACAAGAGACAAAGAGTACTAGTATTATCTATACAGATGGCTCTGTGTTGAGGGGCAGACGAAGTGCATGGGGGTTCATAGCAAAGTCGAATGACGTCGCTTAGTGCAGCAAAACCTTGCATAGGATATCACAACGTCTGACTCAAAGAGCATGTTGAGAATGGTGGAGACAGGCATGCTCTGTGCAGAGTGGCAATCATCACTTTATAGGTCCCGGGTAGTTAGCATCCCTTGGCTATTTTCTCCTGGAATTTTGGTGTGTTGGGAAATGAGCAGGCAGACAGACTGGCTGGTTCTGCACCACTTGGTGGTGAATTGTTGTATGACAAGCTGGATATTATAAGGGCCCTTTGGGAACGAGTGAACAGTGTGGATGCGCAAATTGAGCATTACTGTCTGAGGAGAATGGCGTTGCGATCAGTTACCAGGGGATGTGGCCGACGCTCTATACTCAGGGGAAGGATGAGACAAATATACAAATAGGCGGTTACTGGGGCCATCGGAATTTGAAATCTTCGCTTGCTGCTGAAGATGGGGACGGAGCACTTTTTGAAGTGTCCCAGTGCTGTGATGTCGATTCTTAATTCAACATTCAACATTCTGAGTAGCTGCAGCTTTAATAAAAAATCTGTCCATGTTTCCATCTCCCGATTGCAAGGAAAGTCAACGTGGAACTGTGTGGCGTGGAGGCGGTATAGAAAGACGTTTGAGAGACTTACTTGTCGACGGTTGGGTGGCTCGTGGGATGACTCCCAGTCGCATCAGGTCCACCTCCGTGGGGACGGTCCCGTTCATCAACATGGCCACCATCTCCTGGATGTTGGGGTCGGTGGGCTTGCCAGAGTATCCGTCTGTCGATGTAAGTGGAAGCAGGTTAAAACTTTTGTGGATCATCTTAGTCTACATACTGATGGGCACAAGGTGGTTCGTTAGATAGACTGACAAGACAAAAGACAGACGTGGGCAGACGTAGAAGGCGGTTAGACAGAAAGAGAGACTGATAATTAGACTGACACTACCTTGACAAGTAAATACAGAGAGGTAGACAGACACATTGATGGTTTGGTGTATACTGATGAATATTATGGATAGATGGGTGGATAAATTCATACGCGCAGACTTTTTTGGACGATTCAAAGTGGTAAATGTACGCAAACAGACTGGTGAATATGTAGACAGATTAGTAAATGGATTAGGAGACATACAAACCGTTGAATTGATACATTTACAGAGTCACAGAGACATACAGACAGATGGACAGACAGATACGTACAAACCAGGAGTATCTACATAAACAAATGACAACTTACATCCTTGAAGCATCGCCATGACAGTGGCAGTGACGTCAGCTTTGACGGGGTACTCGACTGAAACAGATGACAACATTCAAGGAAATCAATTTAAAAATGGCTAAGAGTTGAGAGCAACCAATTCAGGACAATAGTTTTTATCATCAAATATAAGAAGCAAAGAAAAAGAAGACAGCAATATTCTGGAACACCTTACGGGGAGACACAGAGAATCACCTATCAGGCACTGATATGGGAAACAGATGGACCAAGGAGACGAGGGCTGCCTCGAGAGGAACGTTGATGAGTCGGGCCAAGGGTAGAGGACTGGATTCCATTTCTGATATTGAACCGATAGCCGAGGATGGAACGGAATGGAAGAATAGTCTGCTAGTCCTGTGTGCCGTACAGCTGCACAACAGGAGGAGGATGTCGATCACCGCAGCGACGAGATGATGATGTTGAAACAGTTGAGTACAAATACACTCGAACACGTGTCTCAAGAACATCCGTCTCAAGAACACATGTCTCAAGAACATGGACAGATCTGATGTGCTTTGCAAGTGTGTCTTAGCTTTGAGTCACCAGTGATGGGCGGGTGATCTGTACCTAGCATTTGGAGTCATGTGTGTGTGTAAGTCTATACATGTGTGTTTATTCAAGACATATTATTCAAACAGACATCATTCATTTCACTTATGTTACGTTCTAAGACATAAACAGATTACTGATTTAAGAATCGACAGCATAGCACACCGGGCATACACATAGGTGCTCCGTCTCCTGCAGCAAATGTCTTTAGGTGTCGATGCTAAATGTCCCCATGGCACACTGATTATACACACATCATTTCTTCCTCACAACTGTCTCTCTTTGCCTGATCCACACTTAATTCCTCCTTCACACATTCCTGCCCATGTTATTTCATCTAATCTCTGTCTTCTATCATCATTCCCTCATATATGGTTTTCAGAATATCTCACTTGTCCAGTACGAGTGTTCTCGTATCGTTCGCTTTTGTAGCCAGAAAATCCCCTCTTTCATTCCCTCGCTCTCCTATATATCCTGGACAGTACATCTCCTTGGTTCCAAGCGACGTTGACCTACTAATGCTTGCTATCCGCTCATCCCACATTAGTCAACTTTGCACTTTCCTCAGCACCGACTGAGAATCAGACACAACAATTTCACTGCTATCTTTATTTTCTGTGCTATCCGAAACAGCTGCAGTGACGGTCTCCATTTCCATTCTGACGCTTGAAGTTGTAGATATACATCTCAGATTTGTTCTACCACAATTTGTCCTTTCACTCTAGCGTAAAATCCCCAACCAATTTGTTTTTTCATTCCGATGAACAGAATAATTGTAACTGGGAGACGTCATCACTTGTTTGTCAGGAGGTAGGATATTGCGTATTAGTTGATGGGATGAAAGTCAACAGGTCTTAGCAATCTTGACACTTCTTTCTAAAACAGAGAAATATTTTGCAAATGAATAATCTATAAATAGTATATGATGTCATTGTTGACCTGCCCTATCAAAGTGAACGCATTTGTACTAGCTTTCTGGAAGTCTCCATGAGGACAACTGTCAATTGTATTACTATATTTAGATGCAGAACAAGATGATGCAATCTGATGCAGTCGAGATGTATTTAGAAAATCCTACCTGAGAACGCACAAAATAAACAAATTTTAGCACACAAGAATATTCTAGAAGCAGATAAAGTGAGAAAGGAAAAAATATTTAGATCCTAGCATCTGAGTATTAATAATGAGTAAGAAAACCTCAAAGAGAGCCTTCAGTCGTCGAGATTTTAAAGAGGAGGGACTAGTAATAATTACCCTCAAAACGCCTTTGGTCATCAAGACTTGGAAGAAGATGGACTAGTAACAAGGACCCTCACAGCTGTGGAGATGCAAACTCAACACTAGAAGGAGATGAGCCAGTCACATGGAGCCTCGAAGACAGTCACTAGAGAGCAGACATGAAACAAGACATCGCGTTACAAAGACGACACACAAGATACATGGATCCCTGGTTAACAGAGACACATTAGATAGGAACACTATTCAGATGTTAGAGTCGACAATCAAGCCGTTAGTACCAGACAGCACTAGAAGCCAGGTGGCAGTTACAGATACTAGATCGAGTTAACAAAGTAATTAGAGATGAACACAAAGCGACCTTAAGAGTATGCAGCCATAGAGAGAACACAGCTCTATTCAGAATATCATTGAAGTAATTTGTGACATAACTGAGGTATCACAATAAAGACAGTATAGACGAGAACAGTTGTTTCAAGACATTGTATTTTTCAAGTATCAGAGTCACGTGAGAAGCATGCAGCAAGCAAGACATAATCATCATCATCACCACTATCGACACGAGCATCTTTCTCCTCGTCTGTATCCTTCAATCGACTCCTCCTGTAGCAAAACTAAAGACGAACCTGGAAGTGGCATCCAGAGCTGTGCTACACCAGCGGTGTAGACTGTTAGATGATCTAAGCCAGCGTGTCCATCTATCAGTTGTTGCACCTCTAATTCTGCCATACGGTTACACCACTCTCAGCATTCTCCTACTTATATCATAGAGACATTAACACATTTGGACAAACGTCACGAAATACAGACTTTAGACAAACTTATTAGAGACAAGCTGATCAGAAGTGTAGGCAACTGAGGTCACAGACCCCACCACCACAACTTGTCAACAGTTGTTTGGGACAGACTGGGCAACCATTCCTTCTACTTAGACACACTTTCAAGCAAGCGCTGTGCACTCATAAGTCAGTTATTATTACTACACACTTAAAGGAGGTTTAGACCCTTGAAGTCTCCTCCAAAAAGAAATCTGTTGAGGGGCGGAGGGGTTGGAGGGAGTAGGTGGGGGCGGTGTGGGGGTGGTGTGACAGTGTCCCCTGACATTGACTGACGAAAGTCACAACCTCTTTGACAGATTACTGGATAAATGGATGGATGGATGATGGATGGATGGATTGATGGGTGGGTGGGTCGATGGAAGAGTGGATAGTAGATAAACACAACACAGACAGACACACAGACAGATTGATGCATACACAGACAGTCGAAGTAAGAGAAGGGGTAAACATTGAGTTTTATGCACATAAAAAAACTCCAGCATTGCCACGAAATGTTCATATAGGAATGTGAACTGCACAGAGATGAGATCACCTGTTAGACGTACCTGGAGCAGCCACTGATGTTGCCGTCTGACATGTGGCCAGGTGTAACAGACCTGCAGATACAAGACAAAACACAGATATCAGTCGGTCGCTACCTTACTGTTGACGAATTAGGCCTCAGAATTTAAAGTCATGTTAGTAATCAAATAAAAACGGAGAAACTAAGATGTTATTCAGCCCCCTTCTCTTAGAAACAACGCTCTTAGCAGTTATATCTAACCTAGCATCAGCAGAAACACTTTAGTTGGATTCTGTGGCTAAATTGTTTCACAGTTAAATCTTCGACGGACCAAAGTTCCATTTCTGCAGTTCGATTTGTAGCGTATTTTCTGCGTCCAGATAATGATACGAGAGTCCTACCGTGGGAGATGATGGGAACCCCAGATCGTAATGTTCATAAAGGCAGTAGTTGGCGCACCGCAGATAATCCCCTGACCTCAGACAGAGCCATTTTTTTTTAAAGTCTACCTTTTGTATCTGCAACTGTTCCGGCGCGCAAGTATGAAATCATCGGAGAACACCGGGCCAGACGATTAATGGATAAACTATTACATTTCCACACCAAAGCCCTTTCCTCCCCCCCCCCCCTTTTTTTTCCCCCCTCTTCCTTTTCCCGCCCAAATGAGGCAAACCGCGGCTTTTCTGAAAATAGCGAAAGGTTGCTAAATTTACATGTGATAGAAACAACAAATTAGGCTGACTTAATCCAGCAGGTTTAGGCGGAAACTGGGTTGAATGAATGTGGTCGACTGGAGCTGCATGTTAGACATGCTTCAGGTGACAGAGGCTGGTACACGTGGACCGGGGTTGACCGTTTCCTGGTCCTTGATGTGCTGAAACTGTCACTGTCTGGCCACACTTGGCCACTGGGTTGTGTTGTGTTTGTTCCTCAATTTCCATGATGTTTTACCTGCTGCTATGAAGTGTCCCTGTTATTACATTTTAATACTCTTTACTTTATTCTTCTGTTTCTTCTGCGTTCTACCTTGACAGGGTGGCTGGAACGTTGTGTTCAGGGTTACAGCTATACTGTCATTTCTGTGCCTTTTGGCCAACACATCCGATTTCAGAAAGTTCTTAATTAGTCGCCTTTTACGACCTGCTTATTAGGCCAGTATGTCCACCTTCTCCCTCCCCTAACCCTACAGAAAATGGGGCTCCGTAACTCAAACAGAGATCCCTTCCTTTATCAGGTAAACAAGCTGTACCCGGCCACGCGTTGCGGTGGCTTAGTTTAGCTAAATGAAAAAGGAGAACAGAAATCAAACGTGTCTAACATGGTTAATGTCGCAATTATTGTCAGCTCAGATATAGAGATAGTCTTCTATGTGCCCCCCCCCCTCCCCTTTCACCTCAAATCTACCGTCTACTCTCTACCTCATCGATGTTTTTTTTTTTTTTAAACAAAATATAAATCGCACGTATCTAATACGGTTAATGTCGCAAGCATTGCCTGCGCAGATATAAAGATATTCTGGTTTGCCGACTCTAGAACACGCAACATATAATTGTTTCATTATATTAGTGGTAGTTCAAATTGTGTTGTTAGGAATTTCAAAAGGGATATTAGGTTATTACATGGTAAAGCTTTTTCTATTTTGTCAAAGAGACGGAAGTAAAGATTATTACTGTACTTGCAAATAACCAAGTAAGTCGAAAAAAAATGAGAATAGCTGAGTTAGGGTAGGTAAAATATAAACAAATTAGGAAATGTCAACTTTAAAATCATATTTTTAGCTTTCTAAGTTAACAGTTTCTGTCATCACTCCTATAGGGAGCAGTCATTGTAGTGAGAAGTAAAGGCGGCTAGTGTAATATTCACCATAGCATTCTTCAAGTACCAGTACTACTACCACCACAGAAACTAAACTAATGTAATTTTTATCTGTTTGACCATCAAAGTAGCTAAGCTCTCGAAGTTAACAATTTCCGGCATCCCACCACTCCCCTCCCCCATCCACCGACTACTAGACGTTTTCTGTAACTGATCTTTACATCCCTGTACATCCGACTAAATTGGGAACAGCAATTGTAATGAGAAGTAAATGCGGCCAGTGTAGTATTTACCACACCATCCTTAAAATACCAGTACTACTACCACCACCACCATCACCACAGTAACTAAACTAATCTCACTATTATCTCTTTTATCATCAGAGTAGACAGGGGTCGTGAGCCAGACGGTTTGGCGCCGCATGGCTAATGCTGTCACCACAGACTGGTCAGGCTAGGATGTGTAATTTTGCTGCCGGACAGAAAAACTCAGTCACCTTACCGGCGGTCAAACCCAGGTCTCTAGCATGACAGCCCAACGGTGTAACCAGACAAGCACAACTACTACTACTGCTGCTGCTATGAGTGGACAAGGCAGTTACTGGGACTTAAAGCTCTCCCAGTTACCATTTTGCCCCCCCCCCCCACCCCGCCCCGCACACCCCCTCCCACACACACTACTCCCCTAAATCATTGACTACTCTTTCCCTCATCGAAGTAGTTTTTTAAAAAAAGTGATAAGCAACGGAAACAGGAAATATACACCATAATTACGAAATGAACGCTATGTTAAACGGCACAGCTTTATTCCAATGTCAGACCAAATAATTAAATCAAAATAAGAATAAATGGAAATCTTCGAGAATTTATCGAAACCAGGCAATCAGAAACTTTGAAATGATTTCTTCTTCTTCTTTTTCTTCCTCTGTATTATGAATGCAAGTATGTACGCATGCAGGCATATATATATGAATATATGTATGTGGGTGTCTGTTTGTGTGAATATATATGTGTGTATGCATGCATATCTGTGTATGTATGTTATGTATGTGTATGTATGCATGTATGTGTGTTTGTATACATGTTGGTAGATTTATGTATGTATATGTATCTGTGTAAGTATGTGGGTGTATGTGTGTGTATTTAGGTGTGTTTGCAAGAATGTATGTGTGTTTGTAAGTATGTGAGTGTATGCATGGATGTGTGTATGCATGTATGTGTGTGTGCATGTATGTCTATGTAATTAGGTGTTTGTGTTTTATGTTTGTATATATGTGTATGTATGTATGTATGTATGTATGTATGTATGTATGTATGTATGTATGTATGTATGTATGTATGTTGATGTATGTATGGATGTATGTTTGTATTATGTATGCACTTAGATTTAGCCTATGTATGTATGTATACAAGTGGATGTATGTATGAGTGCGTATATGTATGTAGGTGCGTGTATGTATTATGTATGTCTGCAGGTATGAGAATGTATATATGTAAATGTAGCTGTGTAGTAAATTAAAGTATATTTAAGTTTGTAAGTATGTGTGTGAATTTATGTATGTATGTTGTAAGTATGTGTGATAGTCTATGAGTGTATGTGTGATTGTGGGTGTGTGTATATAATGTATGCAAGTATGTATGTATGCAGGTATGCATGTTGGTATGTAATATCTGTATGGGTGATTGTATATGTGTGTATGCATTCATGTGTGTGTATGTATGTAATGTGTGTGGGCATGTATATGTATATCTATGTGTGTATGTATGCATGTTGGTGGATGTATTTATGCATAATTAGCTGTGTAAGTATGTGGGTGTGTGTGTGTGTGTTTTTAGGTATGTATGTATGTTTGTAAAGATGTGAGTGTATGTATAAATGTGTGTATATATGCATGTATGTGTATGTATGTATGCGTTTATGTGGCTGTATGTATTCATGTGAGTGTAAATGTGTGGTTGTGGGCATATATTGGTGTCTGTACATGTGATTGTATAGGTGTGTATGCATGGATGCGTGTATAGATGTGTATGTATGGAATGTGTGTGTGCATGCATATCCATAAATGTATGTGTGTGTGTTTTCTGTTAGTGCATTTATGTCTATGAATGTGCATGTGTTTTATGTTTGTGTATCTATGTAAATGCTTGTGTGTATGTATTACGTATATCTGTATGTGAGTGTGATAATATTGGAGTATATATATACGTGTGTGTTAGTGTGTACGATTGTGTACACATGATGTGTGTATGCATTATTCTATAATTTATATTTCTTGATTATATCCATAACATGCATTATTGATAACAGGCATTGGCACTCTGAAAACGAGTGCTTAGAAGGGCCGAATATCAGACGGGCCTGCGTGCCCAATTTGCAACCCTTTGAAAATAGAGTTTGTTCGTTCGTTCGTTCTTGCTCTTCTTGCTCTTCTTCTTCTTCTTCTTCTTTTTCTTCTTCTTCTTCTTCTTCTTTTTCTTCTTCTTCTTCTTCTTCTTCTTCTTCTTCTTCTTCTTCTTCTTCTTCTTCTTCTTCTCTTCTTCTTCTTCTTCTCTTCTCTTCTTCTTCTTCTTCTTCTTCTTCTTCTTCTTCTTCTTCTTCTTCTTCTCTTCTTCTTCTTCTTCTTTTTCTTCTTCTTCTTCTTCTTCTTCGTCGTCGTCGTCGTCGTCACCTCCCATTCTATCTGAAAAATACAGTGAGTATGTACACATTTAACCGCAGCCTGTATAAGATCATGGTTACTAGAGATTGAATGCCACCACAGATGTAGGTAATAATTCACATGCATTGTGCATGTATTATTCTATACTGTGTATTTTCTTTTATTATATACATAACATGCATTACTGATAACAGGCATTGGTACTCTGAAAGATGAGTGCTTTTAAGGGCCGAATGTCAGACGGACCTGCGTGCCCAATTTGTAACCCTCTGAAAAAAAAGTTAGTTCGTTCATTCTTTTGTTCGTTCTTCTTCTTCTTCTTCATCTCCTTCTCCTCTCCTCCTCTCCTTCTCCTCCTCACCTTCTTCTCCTCCTCTCCTTCTCCGCCTCATCTTCTTCTTTTCCTAACCCTCCTCCTCTTTCTTCTTTCTCTCCTTCTTCCTCTCCTTCTTCTCATTTTTCTCGTCCTCTTCTTCTCCTTTTCCTACTCCTCACCTTCTGTTCCTTCTCCTCTCCTCCTTCTCCTCCTCATTCCCCTCTCCTTCTCATCCTCCTATTTTTTTTCTCCTCCTCCTTTTTCTTCTTATTGTAGATTGACACCTTTCCGTCTTTCCAGACGA